TGAATCTCTTATCTGCGCAGTGCTAAGCTATTTCCTTACAAACATTTGGAAACTTGACAGTTGATATTTGCCTAAGCTTGTAAAGAATCTGTTGTAGTTGTGAGAATGATTAATTCATTTCTTCTAAAAAAAAATCCTTTATCACAAGCTTGTCAACTCTAAACTTTATGAAACATTATATGTTTGGAAGTTATAGTATCTTCACATTTGTGCATGTAATTGATTGCAGAGATAAATCCTGTCTACCAATCTTGAACTAAATTTTAATGTGCTATGTTGAGTTGACTATCTTCATGCCTTCTTTGCTAAGTACACCGTAACTTTTTGCATGTACTAGTGTGTTACACACAAATGTCCATCAACTTCAACAGACTGCTTTGTCCACATTTAATTTCATTTTTCCCATTTGATCCCTTTCCACATGAAGGAATGTAAGCAGTGAAAACACGATAAATGTGATCATCATATTTTTCTCATGTTTTGTGATTGACAACGAATCTTATACTACCTCCGCCCCTGATAGGAATCAGGCCTATTAGGCTAATAATAAAAATAATAATAATAATAATAATAATATTAATAATAATAATAACAAGTGTACATGTAGATAATAATAAGTGGGCATGTAGTATAAATAGAAAGGGAGGGGAGGCAAAAGAGGTAGGCAAGTATTCACTTGGGAATAATAATAATAATAATAATAATAATAATAAGTGTATTCCTTCTGTAAACTACTATTCACATCAAATAAGATTTCTTGATCAGTTTTCTTGATCAATTCTTCCTAATTATTTACTTTTGTGAGACGGATTTACCAGTGTTCTACCAGTCCCACTCCCACTAACATTGGGACATGAGGAGGTGACACAGTTATTAAAAAAAGTAGGTTTATGTGGTTCATATTAAATTGATAAAGTAAGAATAAAGTAATAGTGATTTATAACTACACAAATTTTACCAAATTTGATATGGGACAATCTTAGTGGAACGGACCGGAAAGAAAAGATGGGACAATCGTTTAATGTTTATAAGCAATAAGCATTCTTAGATGTTAGTCTTTCATAATCATTTTAAATTGTTGACTGACATGCAAGTCTTTGCAGATTTTGAAGCCAAAGTTGGATGAGATAAGAGAAGAGATGCAAAATAGGGTATGGTAGCTTGAGTATACTCTTGATATCATATTTTCTTTTTCACCTGTATAGTTGATTACCACCTTAAATGCTTCATGGAATTATACCTTGGAGCTTCTCATTAATGTTAAATTAAATTATTTTTGCAAGTGAATAGTTTTTTTGTGCGATCATTATATTTTTCTTTTTTCACTTTATGTGGTTTTTTAATTTATAAACTTTCACTCTTTGTTTTCATTTTCTAATTTTTTTAAATGCGTCTTAGCTAATTGTAAGAAATAAATGTTTTGGATAATATCAGGGGATGTCTCCTTCAGCTGTGCATGAGGGTCGTCAGAAGATGAATGCGCTATTCATTGAGTACGTCACTCTGATTCTAGTACCACAGATTCAGTTTTTACTTTGTTAAGCTGTTTATTTATTTATAATATATTAAGTATCCTTACAACGATGTATCAAATGCGGATTTTCAGACATAAAGTTACACCCTTTACAGCGATGAAGGGAATTTTTATACAAGGTCCTATATTTGTCAGCTTTTTCCTTGCTGTAAGAATGCCTTCTCTCTACCATCTATCTGGCATATCACAGAGCAATATTCTTTTGCATATATATTTCTTTATAATAAATATGTGTATGCATTTGTATGTATCATCTCGGTGCAGATTAGTAACATGGCAGAAAAAGTGCCTTCTTTTAAAGAGGGTGGTGCATTCTGGTTTACTGATTTGACAACTCCAGATAGCATGTACATCTTTCCAGTTTTGGCTGCATTGACATTCTTGATCACAGTTGAGGTCAGGTTTTGTTCCGTTAATATGTAGTCATTTTCTGCTATCATCCCCAATCATATGTAAAGTTTCTCATTCTGCCCATCATCTAGGGTATGTCTGAATCTCAAAAAATACCAGGGGGCAGGGGGGGGGGAGGTGATGCTAAAGAGATTAATCTTGTTATGTTTTGTTTTACCTTGGAAAATGCAAAAAGAAAATGCAACATGATTATTATTTTTAAATAAAAATACATATATTTAGATATCTTATTATTTATATTAGAAACATAAATAAAATGAGTATCAACAAATATCCAAAATAAATTCATTTTTAAACTATGATTTCCATGGAGTGTTTTCAACCAAAGTGGAACTTCATTTTCAGTGTTCTACTCCATTCAAGATTGACCATATAAAGTTGTTCCTTGTGTATACAAGGGCGAATTGGATTTTTCCATTGTTATGTTGTACATTGTTCTTTCCTCAGTGTAATGCACTAGAAGGGTTGGAAGGAAATTCATCAGCATCCACCATAAAAAATGTTTCAAGGGGATTTGCTGTACTTACTGTTCCATTTACTGCAAGTTTTCCAAAGGTACATTTCTGGACAGTGATTGTGCATATGATATTCTTTCTGCTCAATTACCAGCTACTACATTGTATGCATACATGAGAAACATGTATGTGTTGAAAAGAACCAGTTAGTTAATGTTGCAAGATTTTATCTGTATGAGATTCTGGTTCTATATAATCAACAAGGTCGTTAAACGCTATAAACTACGTAGTATCTAGTAGCTAGATCAGGATTAGAGGATAAAAACAGAGAAATAATAAAATAACCTCCAGTCCATATATAATTTATAATATTGATTATATAATTACATACTTATAGTGTAGTTTAGTATATTTATACTTTTGCCACCCTTTAACTGAAATTCTTGGATACTTATTCATGTCATTTATATCAAAACGTGTACTAAATTTGGGCCAGCTCACCTCATGAGGCTTATTTATTAGACACAAATCTATTAAATATTTGATGTAGGACACTTAAACACACCTTTCTGAATGAGATGTATAAATGAGCAAAGCTGACCCCATACCATGGGTTCCCAACAAGCAAACAACCCTTTATGTGGAATTGTGCTTAGTCCAATGTCGCACTCTTTAGATTTCAGATAATTACATCCGATGTGACACTCTTTGACAATGAGGATATGTGTGCCAAGGATTGAACATTTTTTTATTTTTGCACAAAATTGGAATTCTTTTTATGCCAAGGATTTGTGACAAAATTACAGGCACTATTCTGTTACTGGGTTACCTCCAACCTTTTCTCACTCATGTATGGAATGGGTGAGTTTACTTTCTCTGAAAGTTTATTTTTTTCCTTTTAATACATATGTAGTTTTTCTTGATTTCTAACATTTTCCCCACCTTGTTGTATCAGTAATTAAAAGGCCTCAAGTGAAGAAATTCCTCGGTGTACCCATAGTGCCCCCGGCACCCCCAAGCGGTGATAAAAAGCCAGGACTGCCATTTTTTGAAGCGCTGAAGAAGTTTGCGGCGGCCCAAGAGTATGCAGCAAACCAATCAACTCAGAGTATTTCACCATCACCGGTCGAAAAATCCAAAACTGCAACCCAACAAATATCACCATCTTCCTCTGTTCTTAGTCACAGGATCAAAGTCTTGGAGAAAGAGGTGAAAGGAAGGAAGAAAGGAAAAAAGAGGCGATAATGTGCGTCATCAATTCAGAGAAAGGAATTATTTCAATCTTGTTATTTATTGAATTTTGCAGTAACGCATTTTGGACCCGTAAAAGATGCTGCATTTTGTTCAAAATGGCTGCAGTGGTTACTCCCCCTGTACACAAAAAAGTGTTAATCTTCAACTCTCAGGACAGAGTAGTATATACTATATATATAGGACTAATAAATTGGGGTCAACTCTTCAATTTTGTAGTATCCATCCTTGTGGAGGAAAGGTTTTCTTTTATTTTTGTTTTCACATCATTTTAACATGAAGATACAATAAACAATTGTGATATTCTTGTTTCTTTTAAAATGCTTTTGGTTACTTGCATATTTTAGTATTCCTTGTACGCTGTAGTTAGACACTGCAGATTGTAGTTGTAAAGTTGGGAGGCTAGCTAGAAGAATCATGTTATTTGTTTTGTGTATCCTTGGTTCGTTTCTATGCGTACTTATATTAGTTATATATGTATCGTCTGAATCCTAATAGTTTTAAAAGAACTGATTGTGATTTGGAGTAGACCTTATTATCATATGCTTAGATTAGGGATGGACCGAACCGGGCCAAACCGGCCCGTGAACCAGATCAGCCCGCTACTGTGCGGCCCTAGACCGGACCGAGACCGGATGGCTGGTTCCGGGCTTTTAGCCCGTGTGGGCGGGCCTGACGGGACGGGCTCAGGTCCTACTTTTGTTGAACCAGCCCGGGCGGTTTGGGCCGGGCCCGGTTCATTTTTTTTTTGTTTTTTCATATTTTTTCTTTTCCTTGGGTAGGGTTGGGTGTTTTGGGGAGGTTTGAGGGGTCAGGGGTGAGGGGGGGGGGGGGGTCGGGGGTTAATTAGAAAACAAAAAAAAATTACATAGACCTGGGCCTGGCCCAGTTAGGCTCGAACCCGGTATCAACCCGGGCCGATTCCGGGCCCAACAATCTGGATAAAAAGCCCACCCAAGCCCAGCCCGGAACCGGACCAACCCAGGTCCATCCCTAGCTTAGATTATAACACGTAAGTATGGGATATCAGAGATCATCAATTAGTATTTAATTTGGTACATTTATTATTCTAATTTGAACACATCAGTTTTGATTGAACCCCATGCCCAATAAAGTCTCTTTGTCACTCCTCTTCAAGCATATACTCAGGATGTTTTTACTTGGACTGTAATTTGCTGATATGGTCTGATATGGTCTGGTTTTTTGTATTTTTATAACTATCCAAGTCTGATCTGGTCTAGGACGAATTACAATCCAAGTAAAAACATCGTCACTTTCCATTTAATTTTATGAAAAATGGAGGTAAGGCATGCATACCGAAATTCACGCGAATATAGAATAGTAATTCTAATTGTTTGATTTATCATTATTATTCAAATGAGCCGAGTTGGCTTTTATGTGTCATTTTTTAGGACCCCATAAAGCCAAAATAAGACGACATAACTTGAACCCGTAAAGGGTAGCTCAGTTGGTCCAATGATGAGAAATTTGGAACAATGACCAAAGATCAAAATCCACGACGGCCGTTTGACGGTTACAGCTCCTGCAAGCTGGACTAGACCTTTGGTGCACACAGGTATAAGGCCTACCACGATTGGGCCGAGTGAGTCACCCCGACTTACACCACCATTCTGTCGGGTCGAGGTGTGGGGGCTCCTGGGATGGGAGATTCCACCTTTTTTGGAACAACAAAGACTACAAAACTTGATTAGACTGCAAATACTACAACTTTAGTTTTTTGGATTTTGACTGGAATGATAGCAAACATTGAAAGCTGGTTTTTTTGTTTGTTCTCAATTTTAACAAAAACCAAACTGAATTGCTTCTGTAATAGCTGAACCAAACTGATGATCTATATTGCTTTGGTATTCCGACAAAAAATAAGGGAATTTTTGTGAAATATCAGTTAGGTTAAGCCGAATGATTGGAATGAATGCCCCTAGGTGCTATCAACCGGGACAGGACTGATGTCAGCCATAGCATTAGATGACAAAGATGCTGAAGACACAAATCTCATGGCTAGTAATTCTTCCCTGCTGTATTTCAGCCTCTGATCTGTTGGGGGGTCATAAAAAGGGAAGGATTAGGCCCATAAATTCCGACACTTGCACACACAAAAATATAAATGACTAAATATCCTAACCAAAAATATACATGAGCATCACTCACCAATGAAACTCTCGTTTTTTAACTTAAGCACTGGCCAGGGTCGTCGTTTATCCTTCTTGAGCTTGTATTCTGAGGGAAGAATGCGGCGGGCATGCTCATGCCTTATTTCAATGGAAGGATGCTCTTGACAAAACGACAAGATAGCATCCTCTGTTATGAGCCAACACCCACTGAGATCAAGTACCTCTAGGCCTGACGGGGGGCTGAAGGAATAGAGCCCCGCATTGGTCAGAACTACATCACAAACCCCAAGGTTTGTCAAATTTTCAATCTTTGATAAATGGTACAGGCAGGCATCCGTTAAGGGTCCCCTTCGCAGAGATAAGTGGCTCAGTTTACAGATGCTTGACAGAGGAGCTAGTGCCTCATCCTTGATTCGAGTCTCCTCTAAATTCAACCTTTCCAAGTGATTTAGACTGTGTAATGCTGACAGTGATAAGTTCCATCCTTCATCAGATTGCACATGGTCAATCAGACCTGGATCATTCAAGAAATTCAATTAGCATCGTATGCCATTATATGAGAGATAATATGAGGGATAAATGGAGACTTCCAGAATATAACCAGAAATTTAGCTTTGATAACAAAACAAAATCCAGTGGCTATTTGGTAGCCACTTTTATCAACCAGTTTTTTTAGAAAAACTACAATGAGCCTATTTGGCCACCTCATTCGACTTATTCTGCATATCAGGGAAACAAGTAGCTTTTACTCACTAATTTGAATAAAACGGATTTTACCAAAAGCTTTCCTTCCAAAAAAAATCAACAGTCATCCGTTACAACAAAATAACCCTTTCAAAGTAGCCTCCACTTTTTTGGCCAAAATGGCTGACATGATCATTTTTTTTTCTTCTATTAATAACGTACTCCGTCTGTCTCGGAATATAGTTTTTGTTTGAGCTTGGCAAGCTTAGTAAAGAAGTGGTTGAAATTTGGTTAGAAATGACTGAAATAAGAACCACATAATTCTTTTCTTAAACTGAAATTTGGGATGGCTCCAAAATGAAAACAGGAAATTTAATTTGGGCCGGAGGAGTAAGTCTTCTTTGCATAATTCAGAATTTTTAGCGATTTCCTCAATTTCTGCAGATTCATCCAAATTCTTCCTGACAAAATGGGCTCTTAATTGCAAGTGAGAAAAGGAAACTACAAGAATCAAAGCACAGCAGTACCTTTGACATTTGTACCACATAGACTGATAGACTTCAGTAAATGCATTGTGCTGATATATGAGATGGCATTGTCATCAATGGCAGTGAAAGACAGCTGTAAAGTTTCGAGATGAGGAACATGTCCAGCTAAGGCAGCCACACCAGCTGAGCTTACTTTTGTCTTGCTGAGATTTAAATGGCGTAAACTTGATCCAACGCATGTGATGTATTCAGCTGAATCATCTCCGATGCAACAACCACTGAGATCTAATTCTGTTATGGCATTCATACACGTCAAAAACCCGAAGGAATGAATGAACGAGTTTGACAAATCCAGAAGAGATAAGCTAGAGGCTTCAACATTTTGAAAGACCTCAGAGACATCAGATATTGTAGCTCCAGATAGAATAAGCCTTTCTAGTGTCACTTTATTGCCTTCTTGAAATAAAGAATCTACAACACAATTACTCATGTTCAGGGAAGCAAGGGAGGGCAGAAAAGGCAACCTTGTAACTTTCGTCCAGGATAAATCCACCAAACTCAACCCCTGGAACCTTTTAAGAATAGAAGCTCCTTTGTCTGATACTAAGCTTCCCCAAAGGACTAAATGTTGCAGCTTAGTAAGAGCCTGATATTGTAGCAAAACATGATCTCACACATCAAAGAAGGATATGTATCTCTAGTAGATCAGGACAATAAGAGGTTTTCAGAACAAGATTTATCTACATCGACACACAAGTTTTAAACAATCAATCAAATGCAATCTTTTATGCTTCCATTTGGATAGTGTAAACTAAACCTAGTAAACATAGATAAACTAGTTTTAGAAAAAATTGAGGGAAGATGATTGATGTTTGCTCCTAAACAGCAATGGGATCAAATTTTTATTTAAAGGGAGAGAAGATAAATTCATTACAAAAAGAGAGTAGAGAAATGGAACGAGGAAAGCTATATAAAAGCGTGTGGATAAGAACAATCTACCTGTAGAGAGCTCAGAGCTGCATCAGTTACAGGTAGTCCGCCCAAATCCAAAACAGATAAATTTGTTAGTGAACTGAGAAGTATAACCCCCTCTGCAGTTATACCTGTTTCTGCAATCCACAACTTCTCCAACATTGGAATGTATATAAGATGCTTAATTCCGACATCTGTAATCTTTAAGCAATTAGAGAGGTCCAGTTCCTTCAAGTTTGAAATGCCTGGAACAGTCAAAGAGCTTGATATGTGGGTAAATATTTTCCATGACATAGGACAAGTTGAAGTTGGATGTAAGGATAGTAGGAAAATAATACAAATGCATAATGATACTGAGTAAGACAAGCTGACTTTAATATGATGTATATGTCACTGGTTACGGTGAGAAAAGTTTTAACTTTATTCAAGAATTAACATGAAATGCAGACCTGTTAAAGGCCATATAGAGGAACTGCTTATTTTACGGCAATTGGACAGATTCAATGTCTGCAAGTAGTGGAAGCCACCTAAATATGCCATCCATTCTGCATCCACCATGCTCTCTCCTTTTAAGTTTACTTCATCCACACAATACTTAAAAACTCTGCATACTCAAAATAGGGTGGAGATGTTCCAAATTTAATGCTTCATTTCTAGACATATCATTATATTTATTCATTACCCACATAGCCATAAAGGATTGTACGGAGTATCAATTTCAATATAGAGAACTTCCAAATATGTAGTTTAGGTATGCAGTAATTTAATGACTTTCTGGTCGTGTATAGAACAGATAACGAGTACAATTCAATGTTTACTAATCATCGAACTCTGGAATTCTGGATAAAAGAAATGCTCGTTATAGCTCTATTTGGACGTATGGCAAAGTAAACCAGGAAAATGCTAAACAATTTTGAGCTAACATGACAACAAGTACCAATGCATAGCTCAATCATCCCATTGATATTGCATGTGAACTAATTTTGAGACAACCATTTTCGAATTCTCACTTGAGAAACATGTAGGTAAGGAAAGATAAGAAATCAAGCGAGATATTTACTCGAGTAAAGAAGGGAAGAGGAGACGGCGGCGGAGCAGGCGGTGGAGGAGAAGGTTGGCAAGGTGAGAAGGCAAGCGCTCCAGAGTGCGCCGCTGTCTCCTCCATACCTCGATGACATCACGGTTCTCACTGGCCGCTTCGATGCACATCTGAACCAATAAGCTGCAATTTTCCATCACCGATTCTGATAAATTCTTCTTCGCCCAAAGCTACGTGCCTCCCGTGTTCTTTTCCTTTACTATTCACTTTAGCAGCCCCTTCAATCGAATCGGGTATACGTGTCCGGCAAGGAAAAGTAATTTGGGCGTGGAGGAAGGAATGAAGAAATAATGGAGCATAGCTGAACGAGTGGATATATGATTATGTATTTTTTAGTAACATCCAACAATGGCTCAACTCTCAGGTTCTTTACTCCTTATATTTCTATTTGTGTTTTTGATATTCCAATTTTTCAAGTGATCATTTTATAGCCAAGTATCTTGAGATGATTGTACTATTGTGAATTTGTGATACACTAAAAAAAGGAGGTCATAAATTATTTGTTTTTGTATTCCAATTTTTTAACTAATCATTTTAAGATCAACTACATTGTGATCTGATGACATTATTGTAACACTCTTAAGAGGGAGATCACATTTTGAACTTCATCCTAGTTAAGGATGTTGAACTTAACATAGAACAAATAATATTATAGGTCAGAAAGCTTTACAAAAAAACTAATCAATTTACCAACTTGCCAATGAATTTCATTGTGGTAATCGCCTTAACATGACCGATATTGATTCTAATATAAGATTGAATGACTAGTTTCGATAATCTAATTGTTATTAATTAATGAGTATAGTTTCGACTTGGAACGAGACACATGTCAATATTAAGTGTGCATTGTAGTCAGTGGGGGTCCCACCTTGTGTCCCACGGGTCCCACAAGCCTACGAACTTCCAACACAACCTATAATATCTATATATGGAGAGAGAATTCACCAAATGAGACTAAAACATAGTAAATGTGTACAAATAGGACCGTAGTTTATTTTTCCCTAAATAAGACTCTTAATTCACGATTGGACAATATCACCCTTAATGAATTTAGCGCATGATCCGTAGACCTTCGACTACTCTGTTGCGATGCCCTACAGGTGTGGCGGATCCGGTCAGGAATGTCTAATCGGAACTAGTCCCTCCGTTTCACAATGATTCTAATAAAAACTCACTTGGTTGTAGAGATACAAGGATAAAACCCCCATAAACATACTCCCTTCGTTTCACAATCTTTGACACAGTTTGACTTGTCAAGAATTAAGGAAAAAATGTTACTGAGGAGTAAATTTTACTCTAGAGTACACTGTTTGGCACTGTTTGAACACTGTTTGAACACTATTTGGCACTGTTTGACACTGTTTTGCACTGTTTTGGTAAAGATTTGTTTACCAAATAAGGAAATAAGGAAGTATGTCATTGATAATGAAACAGCCAAAGAAGGAAAGTGTGTCAAAGATTGTGAATCGGAGGGAGTAATTTTTTTTATTTAAGTGACCCAAAAGATCAAAACTACGTCGCTTTGGCATCTTTTTTTAGTAAATCTGGTTACCCTCGCAACGTGCAACAACTTTATGAGGATGGCTACTAACAATGAATTGGAAGAACATTGTAGAAGACATTTGAGTTGGCTGTATTCGATTCTCGAGTGTCGCAGACATAAATTTTTTATTTGATTTCACATATTTCCTATGAGTATCCGGAAGGAAGCAAGAAGTAAATTTTATTTTTCATAACAGTTCGTTCTCCTCCAAAACCACGTTCTGAATGAGGAGGCTTTGGGGGAAGTTAGCCCAGGCAACGGTCTTGGGCCTCATATGAGAAGGGGGCTCCAAATTCAAAGCTATTACTATTAGTATTATGTATAATTACTTAATAATTGGAAATTAGAATAGGAAAATTATCTCCTACGTACGCATCCAGCAGGCAGCGACGTGTCACGTGTAGATGTCTAAGTAAGGTAATAAGGATTTTAACTTTTTAGTACTACAAGTGTTTTAATGTGATTACATTGAGACAATGTCTACTAAAAGAGTAAAAGTGTAAAATTAAATATTTAATATGCTGAATGTATGACAAATAGGTATAATTTAAAAATTACTGGGTTAATATTGCTATACTGGTAAAACAAATTGGTATTGTATGAATTAGATTATACGTCGTATGATATAGGCATGAAATAATTAATGTGATGGTATTGGTATTACTAAATTATTATTATTTTTTCTCATTTTTATTTATAGATTATTGGTTTTTGTTAATTTATTGTTTATGATTTTTGTATTATATATTAGTCCAAAAGAAAGAATAAGTTCAGATAACTAGTGAAATTCTCTTTCATGAATTTTTACTTTGGACGTTCATGTTATATCTGCGATTTGAATATGTTTTTTCCATATTATTTTTTATGCTTTGAATATGATAACCATATTCTGGGGCCTCCAAACTTCTCAAGACGCCTCTGCATTCGTGTTAGGAAGAGATTTATGAAAGAGCATCGTCTGGTACTTGTACCTCGAAGGTTTTGAAGCCGCAAGTCTTATTTTAACATTGTATTTTCTCTAGTAGTATTCCTTTTTATTTTAATTCGAGTAGTTATGTTTGCATTGTTGTTGGAGCCTTTGGTTGGAATATCCGGTTGTTTTCTTTGTTATAGCTAGTTGGAGGGATGTTGTGGTTGATTAATTTGTTAGAAAATCAATATTTTTTAATATTGGTGACTAGCTAGCTCTATATTTAGTCCTAGAGCTTCTATTCAGGTTTGAAATAGCAATGAACACTTGTTGTGGTCATTACCTTAATCCTTTGCACTTTTCCTAACTTCTTCCTTCTTTGATCTTCTTCCTTGGACTTTCTTCTTTGCCTTCCTTAAGCTTGAGCTTGTTCTTGCCTATGGAGAATGATATTTTCTGGGATCTTTTCTCTTGATTGGGATGTACTGGCCGAGCTATAATGATAGGGGTGAGAGAGAGTACTCCCTTTTGTCTCAATTGAACAATAAGAGAGGGTGAGGGGTCCTCCTCGGTACTTAGATGCCAAATACATCTCCTCCGCTCTTCCCTTTGTCAAACCAGCCCCCAATTTGTACACACAAAAATGTGGGGTGGCCCCCACCCATGTGGGAGGTCATCCTTTTGTGTCCCGATGTGTACAATTGATCCCGAAAGTTGTAGTCCTTGGACTGTTTTATTTATATTTTATTTTATCGGTTCAAATAAAACATATTTGTTGGGTTAATGGCCCAAGAAGGATTTGTCCATAAGGGCCACGCCACGAACGTCATGAACATCCCTGGAAACATGAGTCGACGTACGCCCATAAGCCAACGGGCGCCTTACCTAGGGGCGGCTGGCTTACAGCGACGTACGTCCCCAACATAACGCCAAGGCCCCATTATACATTAAGGCGATGTACGTCCCCAGCAGGACGCTAAGGACCTTTGATACATTAAGGCGACGTGCGTCCCTAGCAGGACGCTAAGGCCCTTTCATACACTAAGCCTACGGACGTCCCCAATAGGACACTAAGGCCCAATATCACGTTAAGGCGACGTACGTCCCCAACAGCACGCTAAGGCCCAGAGAACGATCGGCGACAGAGGACGTTCGTTGTTTGCTGGACGGACGTCCCCATAGACAGCCAACTGGGAAACCTTTCACCGGGTAGTGGCGACGTACGTCCCCAACAGGACCAGCCCACTTCATAAAGGCCCAAGGGGCGTACATATCTAGGGGCAGAAATACCGGATGATCCTCGCTCCCGATGTGGGCCCAACATGCAATTCACTGTTCACGCAAAAGTAATAACAAAATTTACAACCTCGTAAATTCATTAACCATTTCACAAGGTTCAATACATGATTTACATAAAGGTAAATATATTTGGGGAAGGTGTTACAATGCGTGGCAGCTCAAGTAAAAATGCATTTGTGGTGGATTGGATTAAACATGTCGGACAAACTGATGCAACAATTGTTACACATGAGATAGATCAATACATCAATGATTCTTTGGAACCAATAGGAGCGAAACCGCCTTAAGAAACTGAGGAAGATGACACTTCTTTCAATGAAGAGGTTGTTGAAGAGGAATACGGAATGTTTGATGTCTTGCATTGGTGGAAATGTGCTTCACCAAATTATCATGTTTTAGCATCAATTGCTAGAGATGTATTTGCTATACAAGTTTCAACAGTTGCCTTTGAGGTTGCTTTTAGCACACGTGGATGAGTAATTGATGCTTTTAGAAGTTCATTAACTCCATCATCAGTACCAGGGTCGGTCCCGAGAAAACAGAGGCCATGTGCAACAATAAAATTTGGGCCTTTTTTCAAGTTTAAACGCAAGCAAATTGTCTTACAATACAAGTTACTAATAAACATAATAATTAAAATAAAAAAAGTCATTAATAACTTACAGTTTATTTAAAAAGAGACATTCTTCGAGCATATTTAGATGCGAAGTCATCTACCAAACTTGTGACATAGTTGACCGCAAATAGGACTTCAACAACTTCAACTTGGAAAAACTTCGTTCTGCCGAGGCCACTGTAATCGGAATGGTTAGCAAAACTCTGTACGCAATAAAGACATTTGGAAAACAATTCATTTCTTTTACAGAATTCAAAATTCTTGTTGCCCCTATCTTTTCCTTTGGCAAAATCTCTCTAAGTAACTTCAGCTCAATATACAAATCGTGGCCATCAACATCGTTGCATTGTCCATCCCTCTGCAATACTGTTTGTAAATGAGTGCAAGATGACTCCAAATCTAAATCCGTAAGAGATTGTAACTTCTCAGAATTGAACAAAAACCCAAACATATTTTCATATACTTTGTATTGCTCAAACCTCCGTGTCAATGAGCCAATAGATTGATCAATTATGTAGACAAAGTATTCCACTCTGAACAGCTCTTCTGGTGTTGATGTGGATGATACAGAAGATTCACCAACACTCTCATCAAATTGTTTTTTCTGCGAATTACACGCTTCTGAGGAAACACTGGTTCAACTTCCAATTCACTGGCTATTTCTTTAGCCACATGCATAGCACTAGAAAAACCAGTTTCTCTATACTTCTCAAAAAAAGAAATTAGCCCTTTGACTTCAACAATAGCAACATCAAGAAGCATATCTTTTGCTTGTAGATTTTTGCTCACCAAATTAACAGCATATAATATTTCATACCAAATAACTGTAGCAAGCAAAAATTCAAAATTACAAAGATCATTTGTAGCTAAGGATCTAGCTTCACTTTGTATTTTAGAATCATTGTCTGTCTCAGCCAATTCTAGCAATGCTTCTCGAATGTCACTGATTTGAAATCTTATTGCTTTGACACTTTCCAC